CACACCCACACCCACACCCACACCCACACCCACACCCACACCCACACTCGCACCCACACCCACACCCACACCCATACCCATACCCATACCCATACCCATACCCATACCCACACCCATACCCATACCCACACCCATACACATACCCAACCCACACCCATCCACACCCACATCCACACCCACACCTTCAAGTATCTTTCTTTTTTTCATATTATTCTCGCAGGTCAATCTTTCTCGCTCTTTGTCTCTATCACTGGTGAGAGAAAAAGTTTATCAGATAAATAAAGTGATAAAGTAGTGCAGTGTGGACACACCACGGAATGTCATTACATTAAAACATCCAATGTTTTGTTTTAGTTTATTTTTGTGCATGAAAAAGGTAGGACCATTCTTTTTTATTTGTCAACGACTCGCATTGCAACATACTAGAAAACATCCGATAATTATTACCAACAGATATACGACTGAATCAGAGTTTACAAGAAGAATTCATTGATGTAGCCATTCTTGACGAAGAATCCAACAGTTTTAAACGTAAATGGAGAAAAAAGAAGACTCGAGGACTTCCATTTTTTAGTCTATGACATTATGTATAGTTTTATCTCAGTAGAATTTCACCTAAGAACTAATTAATTCCTTTAGAAAAGATTGATCACCCTCTTCTGATTAAAATTTATTTCACCATCTATGCTTAGAAGCAATGTCTTTCAAATAGCCCATTATGAAGATAGAAATGTCTTTAGTAATTTTAGAAATAAACAGTTAAATTTTTCTTCTTTTTGGTAGTTTCTTTTGTGTTGGGAAGATATATGGCTCTGACTTCGTACTTCTATTTCTGGTTGCTGATAGTAGGGCTTGTACATGCGAAAGTCTCCATACAAGGTATCAGTTTTTTCTTTTGAATATTCATCGAACAATACACTGCTTTGTAGTTGAAGAGTCCCCACTTCGATTATTCTTTCGGCACATTGATTTAAATGGCAACGATGAAATTGATGTAAATGAATTGCAACATTTTTTCCATGACATCGAACCAGAAGATCCCATTGTGGATCCTAAACATTTGATCCGTACTATGAAACGTGTCATGAAGCAAGTAATAGAGAATGAAGAACAGTCTTTCACTATTTCTTGGCAACAATTTCGAAAAAACTACGCAGAGCTTGATTCTCTCACAGAGAATGGTCTACCACAGGTTTGTCTTTGGTACCTGACTTTTGTTGAATAGTCTCTCTTGCTCTTAGCAAATTCATCTATCATTACTTGCCGATGGCAGTTGGTCTAATATGATTGTCGTCTGGATCGTCAAGGATAGTGAGAAAAAACATCAACCGCCTTCGTTCGTACGATATGGAAATGTTAGCGGTAGCTATGTCTATGAACAGGCGGCAAAAAACAGGACTTATAATGTGGGTATTGAAGGATGGAAGGGAACGATCTATGAAGCTTGGATGACCAATTTAAATCAATGTCAAACATATTATTACAAGGTTGGAAATTCTAAAGCATGGTCAAGAGAAATCAGTTTTAAAACAGATTGTCCTACCATCACGAAACATACATTCGCTGTCATGGGTGATATGGGTACTGTCATTCCAGCTGGTTTTCTTGTAGCTAAACAGATCAAAGAAGATCATAAAGTCACGCCATTTTCGGCTGTTGTGCATGCGGGTGATATCAGTTATGCTGGTACAGGTGCACACGATGAGATTTCAGTGAGTCTAGATGAATGGCAAATAATCTCTATTATTTCTTTCTCTCGTCATTCTAGGAAGTTTGGGACTTATGGGGAGCGCAAGTAGAGCCTATCTCATCTATAGTACCATACATGATAAATGTGGGCAATCATGAAGCCTATTACAATTTTACAGTCTATCGGAATCGATTCCGTATGCCAGGTCCTGAAAGTGGTGGTCTCGACAATTTCTGGTTTAGCTTCAATACTGGACCCATTCATTGGGTCTCGATGAGCTCACAGGTTGGTAGTCTATCATTGTTCTTGAGTCAGAAGTTTGAACCATCATTGTTCTATTTTTAAAATCATGGCATTTCTATTTCCTATGATGCAACGCATTGTTATGTACTTAGGGTATTTTATTCTTTTGAAAAGAGAACTCACAGCTCATTCGCTCACTCTTTTGACAATTAGTATCTTTTCTCTATATTTAAGCATGATTATTCTAAAGATGGTCCTCAATATGCATGGTTGGTAAATGATCTCGAGAGAGCAGCTCTGAACCGAATGCAACAACCGTTCATTATTGTGGTCACTCATCGACCCTTATTGTGTTCAGATGCGAATGAACTAGAGTATGTTTATTTCTTTATCAACAGATGCCCTTTCTTATGCATTATTTCATTTCAGTCAACATTTGCCTAATTCACCTCTGTTTGAAACAGTCTATCCTCTCTTTGTTAAATATCAAGTCCAGTTGGTTATTACGGGCCACATGCATGTATACGAGCGAGTATTCTACGATAATACAACAACGATCGTGAATAATACGTATACGAATGTACACTCACCAGTAATTGTTGTACAAGGCACTGGTGGGGCATTGGACAAAGACACATGGATAGAGCCGCAACCATGGTGGAGCAAATCACGCATGATTGCCTATGGGTATGGTCGTTTGACTGTCTCCAAGGAACAAACACAGTGGCGATTATATTATGAATATTTGCTCGAACACGACAGAAGCACTTATGATCAGTTTTCGATTGTGATTTAATATAAAATGTATTCAATACATGACACACATAAATCTGTCAAAAGTAGTTTATGATCTCATGCTCGGACATAGATGTACAATAGTAGTCATTAATAAATAACATAGAAAACTCTCAACAAGTACTCAATGAGAAATTTAAAAATATCGGAAAAGCAGGAAATAAAAGAAATTAAAAAAAAACGCAATTGTAGGAATCAAAAAAGAATCTTGAATGCTTTACAGACTGTAATAGTCAGACAGCGTACAAATACATTCGATATTTGCTGTTGAACACTCATTAGAAGAAAGTAATCAAGTAGGAAAATCGTACAAAAACGAATAATACACGTTTCTTTTTCTTGCCAAAAAATTCCTTCAAGAAGACTATCAGCACTGATTGTATTTCAATCGAACAATAACTTGAGCGAAGAAAATTTCTGTTGAAGAAAAACAATTTTTACAGGTTCTTCTTTTTGCACTTCTTTTTCATCTTCAGCATTTACTGACAGAAAATAACTTTCTTCTTCTTGAGACAAATACTGTTGATTTGATATTGAGCTGTTTGAGAATTAAATCTCCACTATATCATCCCGACCAGAGCCGCTAACAGGCCACTTTTTCAGGCTGGTCTGGTCTGCCTGGCAGGCCAGGCTAAATTTCGAAAGTCAGCCTGCAGCCTGGCTTGGCCTGGTCTGCAGGCCAAACCAGACGAACTAATGTTTCAGACTTTTTATTATTATGAAATTTACAAATTAGCATTGATCCATTATATACGTTTCAAGTTGTGAGCCGACTTGTTTTCATGAGAGCAATAGAATGTAGTATACCAATTCTCGACTAAGAGCATTCATGAATCAATTTTTAGATCGGTCTAATGAAAATCTTTGACATATGAATATGGGCCTGAGTTCTGAAATGAAATACTTTCAAACATGTAGTCAATCAAGTAGATGTTGGCATTTAGGAATTTATGTAGAGATATTTGAATTTTTTTGGAATAAAGTTATAACTACGTAGATATGAAAAGTATCGATTATCTTGAATACTTGCTGATATGCAAGGCATCTTCAATCTCATATACGTACGAATGAGAACTTCTCAACATTAGCTTAAAACCTACTAATCTTACGGTTTGATGACTTTTATTCACACGATAATTTTTCGAGTGGACAGGACTTAATTCTCCATCATTTTCATTAAACAAAACTCTGAATTCGATTCTATTTTACACCAGCTCTTCGAACCATGAAACTCTTTAACCGAGTAACGCGATCGTTCTTAGTATATGATTGAATAAGTAAGAAGAATTTTAAATAGTTTTGGCACAAAAATTGCTAGAAATAATTGAAGCTATGTATCATCAGAAGAGAAAAGTCAAAAAGAAATCGAAAAATTCTAAATGTCCGAGAACTGAAAGTTAATAGTAACAAGCACGGTCAAAAAACCTTATAAAACGTATAAAAACATTGATTTGACTTGATGATCAACAGAAAATATCAGAGGCAATCATCATCGACTCGTTAAGTCGTCTTATTGTTAGAAGTAAATACTGTAAAAGTTAGTATTAAATCATACCCAGACTAAGAACTTTAGTCTGGCCGGGCTTGCAGGCCAGGTCAAAAATTTTCTAGCCTAATCCAGCCTGGCCTGCTGCCTAGCAGGCGTCTGGCAGGCAGCAGGCCAGGCTAGCAGCTCTGATTGTGACACCTTTCGAAGTTTTGACTATTCGACAATCATATCTTTTGTGAAACACGATCTGAAAGGAGTGTTGAAGTGTTTAGGGGTAGAAATTTGGACCCCTCCTTCTCCCTCCCCCCACAGACCGTGACAAACACTCACGTGACCCATCACAGACCGTGACAGACACTCACGTGACCCATCACAGACCGTGATAGACACTCACGTGACCCATCACAGACCGTGACAGACAGGTTTTGGACCCGTCACAGACGGGTGTGGGTGTGGGTGTGGGTGTGGGTGTAAGGTGTGTGTGTGGGTGGGTGTGGGTGTGGGTGTGGGTGTGGGTGTGGGTTAGACATCGGCGTGACCAATATTTTTTGGTCACGGTCACGTCACGGTCACGATCAGTTTGGTCACGGTTACGGTCACTGTCACGATCGTTGCCATCGTGACCGTGACCCTGAGTCACGGTAGTCACGCCAGTCTCTATACAAACTACTATTTTCTTTTTCTCAAAATAGCATACCCTTCTCTTCTGATAGGAGGTCCCTATATTAGAAGGCTTTCCATAATAGAAGACTCCCTTGGAGAAAATATATGCAAGACTTAGTATAAGACCTCATTCAATTATCGAATTTTCCGAAAAAGGACAACTTCAACTACCGGATTTACACCATAATGTGCTTAGTTTTCAGAGTTTTGAGCTGAAAACCTTAACTAAGTGTTTTCAACATTTTATGTAGGCTTTTAAAATCCGAAAAATTCCTTCTCAAAGCATCAAAATCGCTTTGGCTTTCTGAACAATCCTTTTAGTTGAGATCTGTAAAAACAAAAGAGACACAACAGAAGACCCTCTGGAAAAGTTTTGCGATTCGAGACAATAGAAATACTCGAATCTCCTCGTGCGGAGCGGTGAAAGGTAATATAACAGATAAATGAAAAGGATTAGGTATGAAAAAATTGATGAATTTGTTTTTGAGAAAATATCTTAAAGTTCTTGAAAGTTTATTTGCCCAAAGCCTGACTAGAAATGAGCGAAATCAGAACATGTGGAGAAATGATCAATCATCGAATAAGTCATCTGATAAAAGTCAAAAAAGTCGAAAATATATGAAAATGACGTAATTTTTGGTCAAGGAGGTCATAATATTTTTTAATGGTACATTTTTTTCTAAAGTATTTCTATGCGAACTGTTTAAAATATATTAATACTGAGTATATTTTTTCTGGTACTGCGATTGTATTGATTCTATTCCTTCGTTTTGAGTTAGCATAATTAGAAAGGGATATTGATACATATTGAAAGAATACTAAATATAATATTTAATTCTCTATTAAGTTTGAAAATAACTGCTTTATAGTTACATTGAAAATTTATCGTGACTGATCGTGACCAGGTTTTGGTCACGGTCACCCCACGGTCACGACTTTTTTTCGAAAAGTGCCCACGATCGTGACTCACGGCAGTCACGGCGGTCACGCCGATGTCTAGTGTGGGTGTGGAGTGTGGGTGTGGGTGTGGATGTGGGTGTGGGTGTGGGTGTAGGGTGGGTGTGGGTGTGTGGGTGTGTGGGTGTGGGTGGGTGTGGGTGTGTGGGTGTGTAGGTGTGGGTGGGTGTGGGTGTGGGTGTAGGTGTGGGTATGGGTATGAGTGTGGGTGTAGATGTGGGTGTG